TTAAAAGAATGCATATAGAACTTTAAATGTGCTTTCAAAGGAATTTCAGTGAAAATTAAAACATTTTGGAAATTCAGAAATAACTTTTAAATACTATAGGGTTCTGTAATATTTTTTCACTCTAATAGTTACCAGAATTCCATAGTTTCATGGCTTCAGTTATCGTATCAGTTGATTCACTTTTCTATTCCTGTCCATGATGGCGAACCTTTTAGAGCTTTCAGTGATATACACAGCCCACAGTAGCATGCGTGTCATAAGTTCACCACCACTGTATTTCAACCTGCTCAGTCTTTTTGTAAATATAGCCTATATATTCTATATACTGTATATATTATGATATATCTTTAACTTGAATAAGTAGAAAATTCCTTAGCTTAGATTTTTTAGAAATCCCCAAAGGTTAAAACTAAGACAAATTAATGAAAAGCAAAGATTTTGTTTAAAAATATTTACTGTCAGTTAAACTTGTCAAAAAAAAGTGGAGTGCCCTGAGGTGCAGTAAGCTCCACATGAGAGGCAGTATTATGACACAGCCTGGATAAGTTCTTGTCAGGGGAGAATGAAGAGATCCCACTATCACGTAATTATTGGCCAGGCTAGGTCACTTTTCAAGTCCCTCTTAAACTAGAGATTCTGTGATTCTACAAAAGTATTCCCATTCTTGTCTCTCATAATATTATAAAGATGTATTTATTTTAGAATAAAAAATCTTCCTTTATCACTATACCTTAAATCCTTCACATCATTTCAACACATATATCCCATTCCATATTACACCTATTTATTTCCTTATGCATGAAGCAGCAATCAATATGCTTCAACAAGTGCATTTGATTTATGTCTCCTCATCTTGTCCTTTTAAGAATTATTGTCTCTTCTTTGTAATTTTAATTTTAGCATATACAATTTATGAATGCCAAATAATTTTGGTAAGTCACTTTAAAAAGCCATAATAACTTTCTATGATTAATCTAGCCTACAAAAAAATTGAGAAACATTGTACTAATAAATTTTATCTTAAAGTAGTTCAATTAACCTTTGAGATTAAAGCTCCTGTGTACCTCAAAATTAAGCCAAGCTTTCATTTAGTGAATGTCTATAAAATGCTCTGAAATCTTTTGGTCAAACCATATATGGAAGGTGAATATCTAGTTGAATATCTTATAACTCCTTTCCCATATTTGTAGCGTGTTAGTTAAAATGATAATACAACTATCACCCAAAATTGTGTGCTGATTCAATAAAGTTAATAAGATGCTTCTGAGGAAAAATATTATCAATTGTTTTATACTTTTTCTACATGACAAAATATTTCAAAAATGTTTCATCTAAGCTGGTTGTAATGGCAAACACTTGTAATCCCAGCATTCTGAGAGGCTAACACAGGAGGATCAAGATTTCCAGCCCCAGTCTGGGCAATTTAGTGACTTAGTAAGATCCTGTCTCAAAATAAAAAATAAAACCGAGGGCTGGGGATGTAGCTCAGTTCAAAGGCCTTAGGTTCAATCCCCAGTGCTGGAAAAAAAATTTGTCACTGGAGGTACAAGAGGACAAATACAAGTAACTATTTATGTAATTATGCAGTCCTCAGCCTGAATTGTTCAATTATGTGAATTATTTCTCTAAATACTAACAGTCTCCAAACAGAAAATTTGAAATATGTTTTTCATATTTTATTTCACTTAATTTTATAGGTTGTATTTTCATTTTCAAAATTAATATGACTATATTTTCACTTGTTTCAGTAATATTATATAAAAGTTAATTGAGGATGCAATTATCTTTTGCTGCTAATCAAATATCTAATTTCTTGGTCTAAAAATTATTTAGGTTGGAAAAAGAAAAAAAAAATAACAGATTTAATGAATGTATATAAGCTACTTAAAAACAGATACAGTATGTAGAATACTTAGATATGTTTCACATAATCATTGATGACCTCATTTTGAGCTTGAAAATTCCTTGGGTCACTATTCAACTTTAAAACAAACAGTTCTCTAGTTTTACTTCATTTTGTATAAAACATTTTAACAGATTTATTTTATTCAAGGAGTGATATGTGTGTATACATATATATATATATGGTAGACAAGGAAAACATGCAAATTGCATTTATCTTAATACCATTGTTCCACCCTGGTAAATGACAGAACAGCTAAAAGGAGAAACTATTTGAAATATTTTAATCTCTTTGTAATTTAAAAATAAATGCCAATCAGTAATATAGACCATTTCTTGACTAAACTGAAAGTTATAATATATGTGATTTTATATTTTCCATCACAGATTATATATCATCAATAAGAACATTTGTTTAAATCAATGTTCTTTTTTTGACCTTGTGAGCAATATTTGATTAAATAAAACCATAGACATAAATAAATGACTTTGCAGAGAACACTAGAAAGTCAAAACATAGAATAAAAGATCCATCAAAATCAATTATCCCACAACTTTTTTTGTTTGAAATGTTTGTGTTTGAAGTACTCATTTTCAACCTTAGAAACACATTCTAGTTATGCAATCTTCATAGCTTTCCAATACCTTTAAGTAGTATACCAACATCTATTCTGACTGAATATATATTAATATATTCAGAGTTCTTTCATCAACAAATAACCTTGAAAAGCAAATGAAGTGAAAACAGTTCCAAAAAGTGAAAAATATTCAACTATTTTGGGGTGGTGTTGCCCGATTTCTTTCAGGGTTACTGTAATCCCCCTGAGCCTCGAGGCTAAAGGGGCGTGTGTGTGATTTCACACTTGCCCACACAGAATATGGTGTACCCAGGAAGGACTTGTCTAAAATTGAGCAACCACCTGAAAAGGCCAGAAACATGTCTGTGACTCATCAGCCTACTGGTACTGATTGTTTTTTTTCTAAACCTGATCAATTTGTTATGAGGATAAACTCCTTTGGCAACCTTTACTGAACCTAACTTTTAAACCCTATTTTGGAGATCTAGTGAGTGAAACACTATGATAGGTGTTCTTTCCAAATCTATGCCTTCTCATATGTAAAATTCACATTGAAAATATTATTCATCCAGAAAATACTGAAGAAAGGGTTGGAAGTCATGGCAGTTGAGCTGTACTATTTTTTAAAAGAATAGATTTTGATGTCATGGTGCCTTTATCACTCTCTCGGTCCCTGTAGATAATTTAGTAATCTTAATAATCTTAAAGAACATTGAATGTTTTGAAGAACAAATTGAAACGTTGTAATAATGCTATTCTAAATCCATACTTCATGCATATAACCAACAAGTTGCCATGCTGAATTTCCCGAGCGCACGCGTGTATGTGTGTGTGTGTGTGTGTGTGCATTTCAAAAAAGTCCACAGGCCCTGCTTCTGTCCATGACCAACCCCACCCTCACCTCTTTTAATGAGGGTAATACGCAGAGTAGACTATGGTATATGTCTATAATATAGACTAGTGGCATAAAGTATATAGAAAACAGAAAAATTAAGGAAAAAAGGTTCTACCTCCAGGCCTGTTTCTCAAAGGTTACATATAAATTAAATGAGAGAATTATTTCTTTGCAAGAGGTGAGGAGGAGTTCTTTTGAAAGCTTTTAAAAATAGAGTCCAGTTCATTTTAGATTTGCAATTGTATATACATACATAACTTCATTTGTCTTGGACAATTTAGTGCATTCACGTCAGGAAGGAACAAGAGATACAGAGCTGCTCTCCCCCAGACGACAGACATCCTGTTCAGTTTGGGAGTTAGAGGAAAATTGCCTTTTCTCCAACACAGTTGCTGATGAAAGGGATCTGTTAAAAAGAACTGCGTTGGTTTACACCGCAGATTGAACAGAGCATTAAAGTGACTGCATTAATATGACTGCAGTGGGGGTAGTAGTCGCCTCTGTAATGTAACAGTACTTGCACATAGGTGCAATACTTGCTCCGATGTCCTTATTTAATTTGTCACGAAGAAGTGGTATCGGGTGTCCCTCCAGTAAACGCCCCACCTCCTCTGATGGTAGTTTACCCCCTCCGCAAGTGTAAACAGATGAGGGAATGTGTGTACTTTCAAACTGTCACCCATGCCTCCTGAAGGTTGGGATTACTGCACAGCATTGGAAGGGCTCCTCCGAGGGCTGAGCGATATCGCCCACCGATACAGCTCAGAGCATCCTAATTTGATCACATCCCTCATCCCCTCCTCCACCCCTGCCAGTGTGGGGCTGTAATTTTCCAAACAACCACGTCTCATTTGCAAAAGTTAAAATCAATCCACAGCAACAGAATGCTGACTTCCTGACAGGGCTTCTCTTTGTAGAGGTGCTAAATTGTGACTGATAAAGAGAAGAGGAGAGAGAGAGAGAGAGAGAGAGAGAGAGAGAGAGAGAGAGAGAGAGAGAGAGAGAGAGAGAGAAAGCACTTGCTTCCTGCTCCTAAGCAGGGATTTGCCTGCGACGCGCGGCGCGAGGACTGCGGCTGCTGATTTACACAGTTGGCGCGGAGGAGGGGCCGGGTGCGGGGGGCCGAGCTGGCGGAGGCTCCGCGATGGGCTGATCTGGGGGCTCCCGAGCGCCGCTCCCTCGGTGCGCGATTTGGGGGCGGTTGATGATTTGCATTCGGGTTCCAGCCTCGCGTTTTCCTGTATTGCTTCCTAATACCAGACCTGGCGCTCCCGGTTTAGGAGCACACGTTGGTAAGTAAGGCGTAATCCGATTTTAGTTATTTCCTAGGCCATTAAAGAGGCACTTTTAAAGCAGGTCAGTAAGATGCCTTCCCCGCCGCCGCGATAGTCTCCTTGGCCTGGAAGCCTCGGCGGTCCCGCCTGCGCCCACCGCCCCTCCTGCTCCTGCTGGAAGTGAGGGTGCCGACCGATCACTTCACCTTCGTGCTGTCCCCGAGATTTCCCAAGCCCAGAGGAACCTGGTGTGTGCAGCCATACTGTGCATCCGCGCCCCCTTTCTCCCTGTCTGGCCAATGCTGGGCTCGGAGCCCAGCCGCCCCCTTCCTGCCTCCTCCCTGCCTCTCCCTAGCCCTTTCTCTCGCGTCTGCACTCCAGCACCTCCACTCCCACCCAGGCAAAGGGCAAAGAGCAAAGACGCTCCGGAAAGGCTAGGGCCACTTCCATCTCCTCGGACTGGAGGAGGCCTCGGGCAGGGGCTGCGCTGCGAGCGACGATCTTTGGGGGAAGAGCGCAGCGCGAGAGAGCGATCCGGGGAACCAGCCCGCCACGGCGAAGCTCGCCACCAAGTCGGGAACGCCGAGGGTTTCAGTCGAACGATCCCAGTCCTGGGACGATCCCGGAGCCTGCCTGCCATCGAAGGCGTCTGGAGGGAGCAGTGATCCCGAGCCACATCCCCGACATCGTCACGCGAGGTGCGCGCCCGGCTCCTGGTTTGATATGCAACTACCAATCTCCCTGCAAGTCTCCAAGGTGGAAATACTTGAAAGGATTACAAGCGGGATTTGGTAGCCCTTCTGAAAGTTGGTAACCGGAAGAGAAGAAGATAAGGCTACAGGATGAAGGATGCCACTGAAGCTGCCCGAGAGTTTGCCCCTCCCGCTGGGCAGCGCCTCGCCGCAAACCTCGGAGATCCGATCCTGAGCGCTCGGCACTGATAGGTACTCCTGCCCTCCTTTCCCGCTTTGCCTAATTGAAATCAGTATTTCTCGCGTGTAGGATGCGCACAGTAGAGCGCACAGACTTTGGCCTCGGTGTCTTCGGTACGTTCACAGGTGCTAGGGGTTGGTTGCATCTTTACTGGATCAGTTAGTTCTAAGGAACATGGTGGAAGGAGGGGTACTGGAGACTAACAGAGGCGCGGACCCCTTCTCAGGGAGGACGTGGTAACTCCCAGCAAATAGGCCAGGTGGCGGAGCGGAGGACCCCTCCCCCAGCGGATCGCTCTGTTGTGTCGCAAGAGATCGGAGGAAAACGGCTCGAGCTCTAAACATTTTTTCATTGCTAAACGGACCCATTGTGTCCTTTGCTTGGCGACAGCAGATTAGAAAGGATCTTTAGGAGGCTCAACGCTCTTCAGAAAATGAATGATGCAGCAGTTTAATTATTTGTTTTAGGGGAGATGGTTTTGCTTCCGTATTGGAATATTTAATCTTAGATCTGTAGAGATTAGTGAGCTCCAGTACCCGGCAGTGAGGAGGGGGAAGTGGAAGGGGGCGCTCTGGGGAGAAAGGGCTTCTTGTCCTCTCCCTGGACAAATAAAATGGTGTGGGCGCTCTCGGCCAGGCGCAGAGGAAACTGGGGCCCGGGGCCCTCCGTTCCCGTTCCCTAACTTTTGGAGCCCTCCCGAAATTCTCTGAATATGCTATCCCGAGAAAAAGAAAGGAAAACCGGTAAAATAACCTTTAGGACATGGTCGATGTCCAGAATTCAGGGGGATGGTAGTTCAAGCAAGAACAGAGACTTTATTTCAGAGGGAACCATTTACTGCCACTCGAAAGCTCAGGGCGGCCCCCGGGTTACCTATTCATTCCATCAAAGCTTGGGTTCGCACTGCATCTGCACGTTGGGCACTGAAGGTGCTAGGGTGGGGGTGGGGAGGCAGCTGTGCGTGTGTGTGTGTGTGTGTGTGTGTGTGTGTGGTGTAGAATTCTGGTTCTGAGCTCAGGCGCCTGGTGTGGACTTGCTTCTGAGCTGAGACCTATCGGTCAACAGAGTGGGTGCGGACGATTAAGGGTGGAAGGTTAGGGAATCCTGCCAGCCACATACACAGTCCTGATCTCTGTGTTCAGTCTTGACTGCTGTGGGGCAGTGGAGACGTGAGGTCATTTTACGTATAAAATAGCCTGGGAACCTCCTATGAATGACTTTTTAAAAATGTTTTGTTGAGTTGGGTGACTTCTATATTTTAGAGTGGTGAGAAATTTACACATAAACCTTGCTTCTCCTTAACGTTTGGTTTTGTTAAAAGTGCTCTAAGGGAAAGCCATCTCTGCTTACTAACTTTGCGCCCTTAGGCGACTGAGGTTGAGTTTGCTCCTCAGACCTGAAAGTCTCTCCCTTCCACCACTGTGTTAGTGACAGGACTGATGTGTGTGCTGGGGAGTGGCGAGGACTCATCTCCCACACCAGCCCCTGCTCACTAGGCTCCTGGGCTCTCCCCAGTTTGGCCACTAAGCTTCGTTTCCTTCCAGCAGGTAGAAGGTAGGACTGCCAGCTGAGCCTTTAAAAACTCCCTTTAGAGGGTTCTTGGGAACTACTCTACACTGCAGCATCTTTGTTCAATTACCCTTAACACAAGGAACAAAGAAAAAAAGGGAAAAAAATAAGAAGAAATAAAAAAGAAGGAAAAGAAGCCTTGAAATCCTGTCCACTATTCCTAGGAGGCTTTTCCGGGTGGAAGAATGGGAAATGTACTCGATTTGGTACTCAAGTGGTCTGTCTCTCTTTCCAGAGCATTTGCTTGTCCGTATTTTTTTTTTAAAGTGTGGAAGAAAACCATGATTGTTGAATTCAGGGGAAATCGAAGGTTTTGAGCTGCAGTCCAACAAAAGGATTCCTGGTGCAAAGAGATCGAAGCAAAATACAGGAGAAACTCAGTCCAAGTCGCACAGGATGCCTGAGCTCTTATTTGGGACACCTAGGCCGATTCGGCTTTTCTCCTTTGGGGACCTGAATTTCTCCCTTATTTCAGTTTTTCAACGACTTTCTATGCTGTGGAAGGGCAATTCCAAAGGATAGTTTGCACTTTGCAGAACGTCAGCACTAGAGAGAGCAGCTTCGGGAAGTAGACAAACGTGGAGAGGGAGGGAGGGAGGAAGGAAAGGAGGGAGGGGGAGAGAGAGAGAGAGAGAGAGAGAGAGAGAGAGAGAGAGAGAGAGAGAGTCCTCTTTCCCCACCAAAGGAATGCTAGAATGTTTCCAGCACTCTCTCTTCTCCCTCTTTTTGTTGGCTATTTTTCTAATGTGTCATCTTTTTGCCACTTCTTCCCCTTCCTTCTCTCTCTCTCTCTCTCTCTCTCTCTCTCTCTCTCTCTCTCTCCCCCCTCTCCACACTCACACACGCGCACACGCACAACTATACAGTCAGGGCTTCCTAGTGCTCGCTCCCGACCCCATGCTAAGCGCGTTCCCCTCCTTGGAGCTCATTTTCGTGACGTGGAAAGCCGGATCCAGGGTTACAGCACATATTTAAAAAAAAAAAAAGGGCAGCGAGAGAGAAGTCCGAGATCCTGCACTGTGATCAAGGCTTCTTCCTCCCAGCCTTCCTCCCGCCCTTCCTCCTGGTGCCCAATGGTGTGCAGCCGGTACCCCCGGAGAGCAGCTTCTGCGGCGGCGGCAGCGGCGGCGGCGGCAGCAAAGGCATCGGCCGCGGACCTGGAAGCTTGCTGCAGCCCCTTCTCCTCCCTCCTCTATTGACTGTGCCTAGCGGCAGCTCTGCATCCTAAAGAAGCCCATTGAAGAGCCCGTTGCATTCCCTGCACGTCTCAAGCTTGCTTTTTCCCCCCCAGACCCCCCTTCCCTGCCCCCATCCCCTTTTGCTTCAGCTTCAGCAAGAGGAAGGGAGGGACAAGGAACAAGAGAGAACCCTTAAACTCCAGCCCGCCCCCCACCCCCAATGTCTAGTGCTTTAAAAAAATCTGCAAAATAGGTAAGTCAAAGACATCTGGAGCTTATCTGGCCTAAACTGCAGGGATGTGAAAAACAGGAAAAATATTTCAGAAAAGAATGGTGAGGAAGAAAGAACTTAAATAGATTTTAATATTTTATAAGGCAACGGGGAAGACTGATACTGCAATGTAGCCTCATCTGCCTTCTCTCTCTCTTTTTTTTTCATTTAATTGTTTCTAAAAATTGAGTATTGCACGCCTAAGGCAGATTTCTCTTTGCTTTCTCACGGTTTCTCTTTTCCTTACAGCTGTGTTCATTACATGCAAGTTCACTACAAAGATAATTTTTTTCACTTTCCCTATAAATGTATCATTATGTTTCAAGTTAAGAAATATATCCTTGATGTGTATATATATGTGTGGGGAGAAAGTACATGTTGGAAACTCCGATTTATTTTCATTGATTAAAATCAGTCATTCAATTTTGATTGATACTCTAATGACTGAGGAAAAGCAATGTAATAAAGCTGTATTATAGTTTATTTATGGACAGATTGTCACGTACTGATGATATTAGGTGAAGGAAGAGAGCCATAGAGAAAAGCTCTGTGTGGTTTTTAGAATTGTGCACTGCATTCATGATTTCTGATTGGAAAAGAATAATTTTTTGAACTACATTTCATGTAGTAGATCATTTATCAGCAGGTAAGAATTGAGGTTTCCACCCTCTCTGGCCTTTCACCATGATCTGTAACCAGCCATGAGCATGTCTAGCTTTTTAAAGTACCTCAGTTGATCTTGAAGGCAAAAGAAAAAAATACATTCCAAACTAAGCTCAGACACTTCCGGGCTTAGACACCTTTAGTTGTCACTATATTTAGCTCTGAGGACTGCATGGACATATTCTTTGGAAAGGCTAATCCTTCCTTAACACTTTAAATAGCCAAAACGTAAAACATCGAAGTTCTTTATTTAAGTAAAGGAGATGTTAATAATCAATGCTTGTGCAAAAAGGGTCTGGGGTACGGGAGGTTACTGGCCATATGCTGTAATGAAGCATGTTTGATAGTTTCTTCAAAGAAATCTCAAGTTTTCCTGAGATGCTAGTCATTTTACACATCTCATCATAAGATACTGGGCAATGGGTTCATACTTTATCATGCTGTTTAATAACTTTAGGGTATGTCATGTTTATTTTAATAGCAGAAATGCATAATGGGAAGAACACTTTTTTCTATCAGAGAATAAGATTCACAGTGGGCATGGTTAAAGCCAATATGGGTTTTAACAGCTAAACAAGTGGAATGGCTAAATTATCGCCATTATTAGTTAATCTGGCTATGCTTAAAGGGCTGTACAGTATTCCCATTCTGTTGTTTTCTGTGAGAGCGATGCAAGCTGCTTTTGTTCATGTGATATGCCGTTTACCAAGTATGGCTTGGTTCAGGAAGCTGTCACTGCATGTTTCAATATTTCAGAGTCTCCTAAGATTAAAATATAGGGCACACTCTAAACGTTAAGCATGTTGCTTGCTCATTTTGATTGTCAGTTTGGATAATTGCTGAAGTCTTTTTATCGCTCTTAAATACCCCCACATGTAGGAGTCAATTAAAATAGTACATGACTAAAAGCTAAAAATCTGCATCTTTATTTCTGTTGCAGTTTTGTAATCAACTACGAATGATGAAACCTTCCATAGCTGAGATGCTTCACAGAGGGAGGATGTTGTGGATAATTCTTCTAAGCACAATTGCTCTAGGATGGACTACCCCCATTCCCCTGATAGAGGACTCAGAGGAAATAGATGAGCCCTGTTTTGATCCATGCTACTGTGAAGTTAAAGAAAGCCTCTTTCATATACATTGTGACAGTAAAGGATTTACAAATATTAGTCAGATTACTGAATTTTGGTCAAGACCTTTTAAACTGTATCTGCAGAGGAATTCAATGAGGAAATTATACACCAACAGTTTTCTTCATTTGAATAATGCTGTGTCCATTAACCTTGGGAACAATGCTTTGCAGGACATTCAAATGGGAGCTTTTAATGGTCTTAAGATCTTAAAGAGGCTATACCTACATGAGAATAAACTAGATGTCTTCAGAAATGACACCTTCCTTGGCTTGGAAAGTCTAGAATATCTGCAGGCAGATTACAATGTCATTAAACGTATTGAGAGTGGAGCATTTCGGAACCTAAGTAAATTGAGGGTTCTGATTTTAAATGATAATCTCATCCCCATGCTTCCCACCAATTTATTTAAGGCTGTTTCTTTAACCCATTTGGACTTACGTGGAAACAGGTTAAAGGTTCTTTTTTACCGAGGAATGCTAGATCACATTGGCAGAAGCCTAATGGAGCTCCAACTAGAAGAAAATCCCTGGAACTGTACCTGTGAAATTGTGCAGCTGAAGAGCTGGCTGGAACGCATTCCTTACACTGCCCTGGTGGGAGACATCACCTGTGAGACACCTTTCCATTTCCATGGAAAGGACCTGCGAGAAATCAGGAAGACAGAACTCTGCCCCTTGTTGTCTGACTCTGAGGTGGAAGCTAGTTTGGGGATACCTCATTTGTCATCAAGCAAGGAGAATGCATGGCCAACTAAACCTTCCTCCATGCTGTCCTCTGTCCATTTTACTGCTTCTTCTGTTGAATACAAGTCCTCAAATAAACAGCCCAAGCCCACCAAACAGCCCCGAACACCAAGACCACCCTCTACATCCCAAGCTTTATATCCTGGTCCAAATCAACCTCCTATTGCTCCTTACCAGACCAGACCACCAATTCCTATCATATGCCCTACTGGGTGTACTTGTAATTTGCACATCAATGACCTTGGCTTGACTGTCAATTGCAAAGAGCGAGGATTTAATAACATTTCTGAACTTCTTCCAAGGCCACTGAATGCCAAAAAACTGTACCTGAGTAGCAATCTGATTCAGAAAATATACCGCTCAGATTTTTGGAATTTTTCTTCTTTGGATCTCTTACATCTGGGGAACAACCGCATTTCTTATGTCCAGGATGGGGCCTTCATCAACCTGCCTAACTTAAAAAGTCTGTTTCTCAATGGCAATGATATAGAGAAGCTGACACCTGGCATGTTCCGAGGGCTACAGAGTTTGCACTACTTGTACTTTGAGTTCAACGTCATCCGGGAAATTCAGCCTGCAGCTTTTAGCCTCATGCCCAACTTGAAGCTGCTATTCCTCAACAATAACTTGCTGAGGACTCTGCCGACAGACGCCTTTGCAGGCACATCCCTGGCTCGGCTCAACTTGAGAAAGAACTATTTCCTCTATCTTCCTGTGGCTGGTGTGCTGGAACACTTGAATGCCATTGTGCAGATAGACCTCAACGAGAATCCCTGGGACTGCACTTGTGACCTGGTCCCCTTTAAGCAGTGGATCGAAACCATCAGCTCAGTCAGTGTGGTAGGAGATGTGCTTTGTAGGAGCCCTGAGAACCTCACACACCGTGATGTCCGCACCATCGAACTGGAAGTGTTATGTCCAGAGATGCTGCATATTGCACCCACTGGCGCATCCCCAGCCCACTCTGGAGATTCTCACTTTGTTGGGAGCCCAACGAGTGTATCACCTTATGAGTTATCTCCTCCCGGGGTCCCTGTGCCACTTTCTGTGTTGATCCTCAGCCTGCTGGTTCTGTTCTTTTCTGCAGTCTTTGTTGCTGCAGGCCTCTTTGCCTACGTGCTCCGACGGCGTCGGAAGAAGCTGCCCTTTCGAAGTAAGCGGCAAGAAGGTGTAGACCTCACCGGCATCCAGATGCAGTGCCACCGGCTGTTTGAGGATGGTGGAGGTGGTGGTGGTGGAAGCGCGGGTGGAGGCCGACCAACTCTTTCTTCCCCTGAGAAGGCTCCTCCTGTGGGTCACGTGTACGAGTACATCCCCCACCCGGTTACCCAGATGTGCAACAACCCCATCTACAAGCCTCGTGAGGAGGAAGAAGTGGTTGCTTCAGCAGGGCAGGACACAGGAAGTGCAGAACGTGGGGGTCCTGGGACACAGGCGCCGGGAATGGGCGAGGTTCTCCTAGGAAGTGAGCAGTTTGCGGAGACACCGAAGGAGACCCACAGCAACTACCGGACTTTGCTGGAGAAAGAGAAGGAGTGGGCCCTGGCGGTTTCCAGCTCCCAGCTCAACACCATAGTGACGGTGAATCACCACCACCCTCACCCACACCACTCTGCAGTTGGTGGGGTTCCAGGGGTCGTTGGGGGAGCTGGGGGAGACTTGTCTGGGTTCCGCCACCATGAGAAGAATGGTGGGGTGGTGCTGTTCCCCCCCGGGGGAGGCTGTGGTGGTGGCAGTATGCTACTTGACCGGGAGAGACCACAGCCGGGCCCCTGCGCAGTCGGCTTCGTGGACTGTCTCTACGGCACAGTGCCCAAATTAAAGGAACTACATGTCCACCCCCCCGGCATGCAATACCCAGACTTACAGCAGGATGCCAGGCTCAAAGAAACCCTTCTCTTCTCAGCTGGAAAGGGCTTCACAGACCACCAAACCCAAAAAAGTGATTACCTCGAGTTAAGGGCCAAACTTCAAACAAAGCCGGATTACCTCGAAGTCCTGGAAAAAACATCGTATAGGTTCTAACAGAAAGAAGGAAATAAATTAGTGCTTTTTTTTTTTCCAAAAGAAAAGGAAAATAAAAGAAATATATCCCTTGCTCCTTTTACACTTGTCCCAATATCTCCATCCTCACAATCTTCCCTGCCCTGAACAGAATTGAAAGCGCATGATAACTAGAGAATTCAGATGTTTGCTCTCCTCTCTCAGATGTGATTCGGAGGAAGGGCCATACTCAGATCATTAATCAATGAAGTGCCTTCGCAGACTTTTGCCAGCAAATGTTATCGTTATTTTTTATACTGAAACTTGAGACTTTGACTGTGCCATGTATAAGGTATATGAGGATCGTTGTATTGATCCTAATTAAGTAAAATTCAATGTGTCTTTTATTTTCAGTAACTTTTTTTCTTTAATTGGAGCTTTGTTTGAAAAGGAGGGGGGGAAATTGACATTTGTTACTCTCTTCCCTCTTCCCATCATGGCACAGTTTCTGTACATGTATTAACAATGCAGTTTGCTGCATGCCTGAAAACTGCAAGACGGGGAGGGAGGGGCGGGTCTTGCTCGAATGTTCTCACTCAATCTTTTGTCTCCCTCACACACTCTTATATGCAAACAACAAATCCCTGCAGACGATTAGGTTCCTAAACTTGCAGTTGTTGCACACACACACACACACATACACACACACACACACACACACACACGCCGCTCCCTTCTAACCCAATCTGCTTAGTTCAGGTTTGATCCATCTCTCTCCTCTCCATGTCTTCACCTGCCGTTCATTCCTAGTGTACAGCTAAGATCTTCTCTCCTAGGACCCTGGGAAAAGTCACACTCCAGGCTGGATCCTACCGAAGTGAAGGCCTGGTGGTTTAACCACTGGAAACACACCTAGGGATAAGCACCCTCTTCGTGACACATCATCCTGATGCCAAGATTTTTTGGAGAACATCTGCACTTTCTTATAAATATATATATATATAATATTAAAAATAAAAAAGCAACTGAATATATATCACTAACAGCTTTGTAGGAAGCACTTTTAATGTTTTCTCTCTCACACACAAAGATTCAAAAGAAATGTGCATATATTTATTCTGTAATTTCAGTGATTATAAATTGTAAAGGTAATGTTTAATCATTGTATAGTGATTATGCGTCTGGTATAGCTTCCTAATAAAAAGATTTTGAAAATCATAATACATTATATATAGAGGATACAAAGCTTGAAACTTAAAGCTTCAGCTATGCCATGCCTTTTGTGCTCCCATTTAAAAGTAATTATTTCTTTTACTTGTTATACAGAAAGCTAATTTATTAACAAGTTTGATGCACTGTGATATTGATAAATCTTAAAACCCATCTCCTCTACTCCATACCACAATGCATTTGGGACTTAACAATGTCTGAATTATATGTCATTTCTTTTTCTTGGACTGTGAATTTCAAACATAGTACCCCAACAAGGCACTGTTTCTTAGGCATGATGCAATTGGGAGAAAATAAAGTAACTAGATTGCTAAGAAGTATAGGATTATTCAGATGAAGGCAATCAAGGATCCTTGCATCTTAAAATAGTAAATGACATAAAGAAAATAGAAAGTGAAATTGCTATCTTTTAACAATATGCACTAAAATTATATCCACACCAACACTCAACCCCCACATATGTAACACAATCAAAATCAAAGGCCTTGAAGCCAATTTGACTGTCAGCATACTATTGTATTTGAAAGTTGTCACTGTAATATTTAGCCACTGTTTCTTCTAACCACTGACCACAAAGGACCCCAGTAATGTTTGAACTTAAAACACTGAATGCTGAATGACTGTTACTTCCTGTATGACATTGAAATGATTTGGAAAAATTAGCTTGACAATAATCCAAGTTATGTTCCATTTACCTGTGCATGAAACCAAAGAAAATTGGGTTTTAGGATGCCAGTATCTTGATAAAAAGAAATCTGAATTTTGAGCCAGGCACATGTCTTGCTAGGCCAGTAGAGGGCAGAAGAGCTCCAGCGATCCACAGACTCAGTAGCTACAGGATTGTGAAGTGAGGCCAGTGTTTTCTGCCAGTGTTTCCTCAAGCTGCTCTTAGAAATTATCATTACGTGTTGAATGTAATTCATCATAAGTCACTGATGCCTTACATCACGTTTTTCCCACAAAAAAGAATAAGACGAGCAATTTTTAAAGCTGGGTGGTAGATAAAGCATTAAGGCACTGTATTAAAGAAAAGCCCTAAGGATATCTAGAATCCAAGTGGTCCTTGATTAATTATATATAATTATCATCATAGGAATGCATAAAAATTAAATATACAAGTATAACAACACAAGTGCAACTTTTCAGGGCTACGTTGAGTCTGATATGCTGTACCTATAACTTTTACCCTCAATTATTTGACATATATTTTAGAATTACTTTAGGGAAAAAAAAAAAACAGGGAGATAATTTACCATAACTTTATGGAAAATACTAAATGGAGCTATTCTTGTTCAAGACAGTCAGGCCCACTATTAAATATGTTATTTTTCTTCTTTCGCTCTTTTCTGTTTTTGCTTTTTGAGACAGGGTTTCACTATGTAGTTCAAGCTGGCCTTGAACTCACTGTGTAACTGAAGCTGGCCATGATCCCCCTGTCTCTGAGATTACAAGCATGAGCCAACAAGCTCAGCTTATGTTCTACTTTTAATTTTCCCATAGGTCATCTATTTTTCTAGTGATCTCACTTTCCTCCTTTCTAATTATTTCTCTTCTTCACTGATTTTTTTTTAAGGCACAGAAAGCCTTAAGTTTTAAAACTCTCTAAACTAGAGATTTATCATATTTCCATTCCTCTTAATCAAATATTTTGGTGAACAGTAGAAAGTACATTAAATCTCAAAGTGCAAATCTAAATATTTCTGATATTGATAATCACTTGTTTAATAATACTCACATTTGAAACATTGCATATTATACAAATCAGGTTGAAGTACAATCTCTAATGACCCTGGTGCTTTTGACATTTGGAAAATAAGTCTCCATAAACCATATCAAATTATAATATCACTGGTAATAATAATGTTTATTCTTTGTTTATCAAATACAGAAAGTAAGACTGTCTTGTCTTAGATACAGATAGTAATTTCACTCTTGAATGAGGAATACATTTATTCCCCTTGTGAAAGTAAATTTGTATGAGAATGGAATTTTGTATTGAAGATGACAATTTTTTGCTTCCATGGATTTGTCTACATCCTGGCTAAGCCACTAATTTTAAATTTGCATTAAAATTACTTCAGTTAGATTTAATTTGTAATACCAAATATGTTTTCTGGTATCATGGATATTAATATAGCTACAGATTAGAATCTGTTTTAAATTTTTTCTGGGATAAAATACTTATTTTTTTAAAAAAATTGATAATTCATTTCATAGCAATGGTCAGCTACTGAAGCAGACCAAGACCTGACAGATATTTGCTATTATCCACTCTTATTTTTACTACTAATTATAGTAATAAAATTTGGAAATAACAAACATTGTAATATCCCATAAGCTATGATATTATTAGCAGAAAATAATTGCAAATGAACTATTAGTTTAATTCAGTAATAGTTTAAACATGTTTAATATCATTTTATGGTATATTTATGTGGGTGTTTTTATATTTTTATTTAGGAATATATATATTATTTCTTCTAATTGCAAAATACTTTTAAAATAAGTATGATGAATATCATATTTTAATAAAAATTCAGAGAGGGAAAGTTTAATGATTGAATCAGAAAAGTTTTTTTTTTTTTCTTTTTTTTCTCTTTTCTCCGTCCTTATCTGGGAGTTTTAGGTCTAAGCTCTTGCTATGTGAAAAGAATAATATTTGTATTTCGGGTTATGAAAACTTATAATGAAATCTTAGAATAGAAAGACCTTAAATAACATTATAGCACATTATTTGATTCATTTATTTAAAATTCATTATTTGTATAGCCCTGTCCTTTGGAAAATTATTGTTTAACCCAATACATGTTGCACTTTTGTCAAATAGCTAGGACAAAGGAAACATTAATGAAATATTTCACAAAATATGAGATGTATGGTTATAACAAGTCAAGATTATGGAGAGAAAATGGTAGTTAAAGGAACCCCATCTTCAGTGATTTGATCTAATTTATTTTGAACTCAGACATTTATTACATATATTTAGCTCAAAATTCTCACCTATGAAAATTCAGGTGAACAGAACACAAATACCATTAACTCACCCTGTAAGTGTTCTGTTCAACATATTATAGGTCTTTTAAAAATAATAGGAGCAATAACACATGTGTAATTGGGCAATCATGTGTGTGTATGTATATATACATAGCACTATTATATATGTATATACCTTGTATATACATGTATATAGTTTATATATGCTGAATGATATGTAAATTATGCTTTTTTCTTATATGTATAACAATTTTAGTTTTATGCACTTATTTTTCTTGCATCTGTCTAGCCACCATCCAAGTGAAGCTGGATGTGATCATAAGTCTTCATTTTGGGAATATTCACATGTAAAAGTAAAACTGTAATTAATATTTCTGAACTTAAAAGGTCTTTCATCTTCCATTTTGTTTCATTTTGTTATTTAAGTCCTAGGGGACAAATCTCAGTCAAGTTGTGATTTATCTTAAGTTAAATCTTTACAGTAAAGGAACTAATTTCTTACAAGTATGCAACATAAGTCAAATGAAAAACAAATGCTTCTTTTTTTTGAGTTTTCTATTTCTAGAATAAATTTTACAGGTGAAAACAATTTTAGTACCTTTATTAATTAGACAATATCTTTGTAATTTACCTAGGTATGCAGGAAAAGTGATATTTTGAAGGTTGAATGTAAGAGAAGTAAAGTCTCAGTTTAAGGCATTCATCATCACAGTTCACTTCTTTTAACATGAATCCTTAATAATAGGAGTCACAGTAATAGAGAGATGACCATTTTTAGTATGCTAATATGGAATCAGAATTGAAGAACAAGATTATCATTATCAAGAAATAAAGTGTACATCAGGGTTGCTAGTTGTGAAGAGGCAATTCTTTTGCCAGATTAATTTTGATAAATATGTATGTTTGAGGAAATGTATCATTTCCTTTCTATTGCATTGATATTTTCCAAGTGATTTTAAAATTCTAGTCCAAACTAATTCTTGTGGTATTCTTCACAGATAAATGGTGAATAATGCTTGTGGTATTCTTCACAGTAAATTTATGATTTGATACAACACCAGTATGTCTTTAAACATTAAAAGATAATTACAAAAAGGAGGGCTTTCCTCATTACCCCTTAGTAATAGTAAGACCCAGCATGCATACCTTAATATTTTTAAAAAAATACTTTGGCTACTTACATAAGAGTAGTTTTCAATATAATAAGTTGTATCAAAACAAAACAAGTTTCATAAAAACCAATGTGATAATGACCAGATTAAAACAAATTTGCATATTTTGTTTCAGTAAAATTCTAATTCTTTTGATGGTGAAAGGCACATTACCTACCCTATGACACTCTATTATATAGAAAGAAAAAATTTTGCTCTTCTGACACATTTTAGTTTTGCAATTTATTAGAATGAAGGAACACTATAATGATTCTTGGTGACTTTAAAATCAGAACAATACTTCCCTAACCTGGGTGGGGAAGGCAAAATTATTTACTGAAACAAAGATGCTGCCTGACTGATCATCCTTGCCGGGGAAGGGAAGGAAGTGCTCATCTCTCTTCAGGCCTGTTCCTGTCCCTGTTCCTGACAGGCATGCTTCTCCTTCTGTTTGTGTGCCAGGGCCAGGATGTTCCTGTGATTAATGGCACATTTGGTGAGCTCCCAGTCAGTGCCAAGGCAAGGCCAGGGATTGGTACGAGTCCTCACATTCAATGAAAGAATCTCCAATTCACTTATCTCTGTAGCTAAGCTGAGAAAACAATTCAGTGTATTTCCTCTAGTTTTGAAACCATTTGTAAATCTGGGGAAAAACCAGAATTTAATAATAAAACAAGAATCACTTGTGGAAATCAAAAAAGAATCAGCAAATATCTTAAAAACATGGAACCTACCTTTAAAATCTCACCATTTTGCATTTCTACCTCTGAAATGCCCTTTATCTTTGTTATAGCATATAAAATATTAGTTAACTAAAATTAAAATATCCAAGTCCTTTTCTCAGAATCTATACACTTTTTCCTTTTTTGGATTATTCACATGTTACATTATCACTTAGAATTCTGGTGAAAGGATTTATTTTGAAAGCCCAACTTTTTGTCTGTGACAATTAATTTTATAATAAAAACAAGTTAGTCAGATATGTAAACTATTAACCATACTCTGTAATGGGGCAGAAAATCATATGCTCTATCAAAATTGAAGATTTTATATGGAGTAAACAGAGGCATCGCTTTTTTCCCCTACCTGTGCTCTTCTTTATCAGTTTTGGATTCCAACCTTAAATGTGCCTATATTTCAAATTGACAGTTCTTTGTTGTTTTACTTTTCTAGGTAGCAATAAAAGGAAAGTGGAAATAGAAAATAATATTTCCAGGTATCATGTAATTGGTCCATGGAAAAACCAGGCCTATGAACTTCTACTTTCTCTTCAGAAAACCTTAAAAAGAAAGAGAGTGGAAGGAGGAGGGGAAAGAATGAAACTGTCCTTCCTTTTTGAAGATCATTTGTTAAAGGGTTAATGAAAAAAGTCTGAACTAGGTTTCCATATTAACCTTTTGATGTCCTATATTTGGAAGAGCTTAAGTCCCACAGTAGATTCACTGGATCTTTCAACAAGGCTCTAAGCCATTTCAATTCTCATATGTTATACTCAATGGGTAGCACATAAAACCTTGAAAGTAACTAAGCCAACTAGAATGAAAAAAATTCTAATGCAAGAATAAATCACTAGGGATAATTTGAGCTACCAATGTAAGATATTTACCATGGCTTATAGTAACCAACAGTCTGACAGTCTGTAAAATGACTTTTCTTTTCTTTTTTTAGTTCTTAAATTAGTTTCTTTTCTGTACAAACAATAAATCTTTAATTAATTTTTGGGTCATTTTAACATAACTTTGTCATTAGTTCCATACCAGTATTCATTAAAGGAACACAACTAAATTATTAATGTTTACTTAAAAACAAAATATTTATTTCAAATGACTGTAATTTATCATGTAACATATTCTGGAGCTATGATATTCCAGAGCCAAATATATACATGTAGTTTTCAAGATTTTATTAGCTTCAAAAATTATTCTCTCCTACTTGTATCTATGACAAGAATATTAATAGTACAAATTATATTGAAATTGATTATTATTTTGGATCACAAAGTCTTTTCTCTTTATAAATGTGGATAAGTGATGGTTGAACATTGCTCATAAGTATTATGTATATAATTTATATATATGGATATCATTTACTAGTCTTTATCAAATGAGTATAATTTAAATAATGCATAATTGCATGGGCACATTTTTTAAGTTTTAAGTGTAAGGTACAAAGATTATAAGGATCGATTGTGGAATCATGAACAGACACAGAATCTAGATGCCAATGGTTTGTTTGTTAAATGACCACGGTTTGAGATGGACATTATCGCTCGTTAATTTAAAAACAGTTACACGGTTCTGAAATACTCCATTCACTATTCCCACTTCATTAAAAAAAAATTACTCTTTCTAGACATCACTGTATTCCAATTCAGAAAAGAGAGGTCAGAGAGGAATTCCGAGGAACTGTTTAGCAAACTCTACTCTGCCTAAACTCATTGCAGCATGTACACCTTCATCCTTATTTCCACTGCAAAGGGCCTCACAGAGGAGCGGCGAGAAACGTTGCACACAGAAAGTGGAGAGAAAAACATCACGTATAGTCATCTGGAAAAAGTAATTGTGGTAATTCTGATAATGCCCATATCAGCTGCCACTTTTGAGAACTGCTGCTTTTTAGTGTTTTTAGCCACAATTAAGCAAATACTTCATCTTTCAGAATATATAATTTGTTCATGCCCATTGTTCGATACAGTACTGTGGTATTATTTTCTGAAAACAGACATCACTAATAAGCATCAGAATTCAATTTCAAATTCCCCTCATCCAGTGCACCTTTACTGACACAGTAACTAAAATCTGATTATTTTCTCAAATACGAATACGCACTATTTATACTGATTTGGGTGTGTGGGCATATTTTACCCTAAGTGTACCTTTTTTCATTTTACCTATTTGTGCCCAAAAGCCTGGCTTTTGAGAGCAGATTGTCTTCAAGGTCTTTGTAGCTCAGTTTCTATGACTATTTTACACAGGTATGGGCAAAGGATTTCTGATCAAACTTTTAAATTTCATGGATCCTATCTTGATCCTGGAAGAGACACATTACTATCTGTCTTTTTATTAAAAGAAATTGAGCCTTGATAACAACAGATATTAGACAAATTCTTGTGGAATAAATGAATGAGCAGTTTTAAAATGTGTGTTCTGCAAGTTCTTAAAAGAGATTCTTTTAGTATGTAATCCAGAAAAAAGACGTAATCCAGAAAAAAGATGATGAAAAATGGAGATTGGTGTGCAGAAGAGGTGGAAATGTTGTGACAGAACAGGAAATGTGATAATTGCTTTTACTTTTCTTGAGTTTCCTTTTTAGTAACATACACAATAGACTCAAGTAAATAAGATTGAGGAAATTGTGTACCATTAGAGTGCCTTTGGGGAGAACTGGAAAGAAAACCAAAAGAAAATGAGGAGCTAAAAACATGTAGTTAGGTCTTCTTCAGTAGCAAAGAAAGTATAGGGAGAAACATAGCCAGTAAAATTCAGCTGTGGTGTTGGCGAAACTTTTGTTCCATTGTTTAAATGCTTACAAATAAGAATAGTAGATTCTGTTGATGTCTGCTTTGTTATGACTCCTTAACTTCCTTAACAGATTCTACTACCTCACTGAAAATTCTTCTAGAATGTGAATGGAGACAACAGAAAACAAAATGAAGTATATATATATATATATATATATAATTATTATTTAATATAAACATAATATATAATGTATTGTAAAATAATTATAATTATATAATATATAATATATATGATGCTACCTTCCAGTAGAGAGGTGAGAAATTTCAGGAGATTTTTATCTGGCCTATACTACCCCAAAACATGCAAGAATTCACATTTGGAGTGACAAGATACAACAAGCTCTTTTCCTTTATGTCAGTTTCTGACCCTGTTATGGGAAAAGGTAAAGTATAATTAGATTGTGATAAAAGAATTACATGACTAATCATACAAGTGAATAGATAAAACCTATTTCTCACTTGCAGGATCCAAATTTTAACATATAGGTAATCATATTTTTACTAAGTAATGTGAATCCTCAAAAGAAGAAAAAACAATGTGTTTTTCATTAAAATTTGAATCTTGAAATGCTGTTATCATTAAATTTCCCTATATTTTATTAAAGAATATAATAAATGAGAATTTAAATGATGATCCTTTTCCCCATCAAGAAAATTTAAGGAAGATGCAAAATCAAAGACAAACCATTTAAAAAATAAACCACAGCTATTTATTTTTAGAAAAGCTATAGATATTCATATGAAATTTCAGAATGTTGTTTGCATTTCTGGAAGCTTGGCACTGTGGCCTACACTTTAGTTGTCTTTGGGGCTTAAATTTATGTAAAAATTGTTGTTGGTATTACGTTGTCCTTGAGATATGCAAGTATTTAAACTCTAATCCTATTAGGAAAAAATGATCCTAAGCTGTACACTTATATTTTTGAGTATAATTTAATTATTTTAGAATCTGTTATGCAAAAGTGGATTGCAGAATTTCAAGCTATTGTCAAAGCAGTGAATGGCAGGTAGTCCAATCATACAAAAAGTAACATAAGGTATATCTTGTTAGTTAATAGAATTAGGAATGTATGGAGATACATCCTTTATATATAAAGTAGGCTTCTATCAAATAGGACTCTTTTAGGATGAATTAATATATCAAGACTTTAAAGGATCTCAAAATAGAAGTTATAATATATGTCTCAAAATATTGCCTTTTTGTTACTTTCCAATTAATACAAATGTGAGATTATATTAAAAGGTTAATATAAAATTTACAAAGGCTTAGAACATTAGACTTTAGATAAGTTTTTATTTTAACCCAGTATAAAAATTAATAAACATTTGGGGGTTTTTTGGTACTAAGGATCGAACTCAGGGCCTTGCATTTGTGAAGCAGGCGGTGGCATCACTGAGTTAAATCCATGGCTCTAAAAATTAAGAAACATTTCAACTTGAACTTTTCTTAACAAACTATGCATGATAATAGTACTGAGAGCAGATATGGTGATAAAGAATAGGTGCCATGAAAATATTTTCTATGCTTTAAAATTCCTCACAAAAATGTAAGCTGTATTTGAGCATTAGAGAGTGTTGATATCTAAGAAACATAAACAACCACTTGCATTGCATACTGAAACATTTTTTGATTGTGTATGCTTCTAAAATTGCAGGTGATCATAATTGTTTAAAATAGTTGAGTATCTTCTGTCAATACAGTATGCAGAGTCTGTTCAGCTCAGAGTCAATATTATGCCATATGGTTATGGTCTTGTCTTAACAAACCAAAGAGACAAAAACTAATGTAGAATATAAAAAACAAAACTCAGTAACTATAACTTTGTAAGTGGCCATTATAGGGATTTAGATTTCCTCTGTCTATTGCTGTTAGCAGGTAAAGAAAGGAATAGTTAGAAAAGAGACTACTGTAGCCATAAGTCTCATCCTTTTGTCTATGTTTCTCCACTAAAGCTCCTGCAGTTTAACAAAAAGTGAAGTCAAAAGAATATCCTATAGATTACCACAGATAATTGCTTCTACAGGTAATCACAGATAATAGTTCTTACTGCTAAATACCAATTCCCTATGAAAAACAGGATTTAAGACACTGGAGTACGACCTTGAAGCTCCTCCTTATCCTGATACTATTTTCTTTTTCAGTGGTGGAGAGAGAACCCAGGGCCTCACACATACTAGCAAGTGCTCCAGCACTGAGCTACATACTAAGCCTTGTATTAATACTAAAACAGGTACAGCTAGGATAATACATTTTGAAAATCCTCAAAGATTTAAAAATAATAGTTTTGGTTCTCTTAATAGCTGGATTATTGAATGGGATTCAACTTTAGAAGGATGTTTTCATGATCCAACTATTGCTTCCTAAGAAAGGAAGCAAAGAAGCTCCACAGTGAGAAAGTGGGCACTCTGCTAAAGACTATTGATAATGTTCTCTGTTTGATATCCAATTCTGTAAGGCATTACAGAGAAAGCCATTGTGACCATCACAATTACTTTGCAGAAAGACCTTTTTTCTGACTGATAAAATCTCAAACACTATAATATCTTCAACGATTCTGAGTGGATTGTGGCCAAAGACATAAAAGGCCCCTAATAGATCCTCCCAGTCTATTAGTTTAGTTGGTATTTGTTTATTTATTTATTTATTTATTTTTATTTTTTGGTACCGAGGATCGAACTCGGGTCTTTGTACTTGGGCAGCAGGCGGCGAAACCACTGAGCTAAATCCCTGCCCAAGTTGGTTTTTAAAGAGATTTATGAATTAAATAGATCCCTAACTAAACCTAATTAAAACAACTGAGCAGGGCATGATGGCACACCCCTGTGTTACCAGCACTGAGGAGGCTGAGGCAGGAGAGTCATTGTGAGTTCACAGCCAGGCTAGGCTACATAGTGAGTACAAGGCCAGTCTGAAATACTACATAGTAAGAGCCTGTCTCAAAAAAAAAAAAAAAAAAAAAAACAAATTAAAAGCCCTAAATACAGTATAACAAATATCAAACATAGAAAATTGTTGATTTCTCTCTGCCCATATGTTAGCTAGTGACAGTAGGATCTATCTGTGTGGCATTTTATTTTAAAAGAATAGGTAGTGGGGAAGAATTTATGGGAAAAGGGTGTTCAACAGTCTTGATGAATATGAGCAGGCATGACATGCTTCTTTTCTCTCAAAGTTTTTATCTCCCCATGCATCTGTATTTCTTCAAAATAAGACATCATGTGTTTTATTGCCTATTT